TCCTGTAGGTGACGAGTCATTGGATTCCCCTCATCAATGAAAGAACAGATAAGGACAGCAGGTGTGTGGCGTCCTGCCAGGTTCTTGGAGACCTCGGGTCTCTTGAAGTAGTGTTGAGATGTCATGTACAACAAAAATGAGATACAATGTATTTTTGCATAATTATATTTGCATAATCAGGGCTCAATGCTAAGGATTTCTTCTACTGGCCCAGTCGGGCCAGTGGTTCAAATTTTTACTTGCCCTGCCAAATTTTTTACTGGCCCCCGCCACAATTCTCAATTTAAATTTTGATGCTGCAGCAAAAAATGCTAGTCTAACTCTTAACTAATATAAATTTGAAACATTATTTGATTCACCTTAAATGTCTTATATAGCCTTTTGTTAATTGTATGACTTTTATTTATTCTGTTTTCACCATGAAGCTGCTGACATGACGTTAAAAAATAAATCCTTATGTATATGTGTGTGTGTATGTGTATATATATAATACAAACATTATTTAAGACAAGTAAACAGTCAATAATGAAAGAATAAATAATAAAATAATAATGAAAGAATAAATTACCAGCAATAGCACAATTAAATGCAACAGAATCATCAGTTGTATCGTGAGTGTCTTTCACACTGGCCCTTGGCCATTTGGGCCATTCTTATTGTCGAGCTCTGACAATATAACTATGCAAATATTGATTAAACGTCTGCTAAATAAATAAATGTATATAACTGTTTGACAGGTTGTTAGTGTCAGTTCAGCAAATATAAAAAAACTAACAATGTTTCCATGTACTCACTGCGTAGTTCATTTATTTTTGACTTTTATTTACTTTGTTCTTGCCATGAAGATAACCCTTCTGCTTTAAAAAATATAGATTATAAACATTTTTATAATTATATAAAAATAATCCATAATCTATGTACTTGTAATGTAATACTTGTATGTTCTCATATGTCCGTTTCCTGAGGAACATTGATGACATTTCTCTAGGGTTTTTTAATAATCAAAAAAAAAAAATTGAATTTCATTATGTCTGAAGCTATTAAATGTTTTAATGCTATTGTTTTGTCACAGAGTACCATTGATCCTGGTGGGGAATAAATCTGACCTGGTGGAGCACAGCAGCATGGAGACCATCCTGCCCATCATGAACCAGTACTCTGAGATTGAGACTTGTGTGGAGGTGAGAGATACACTCAGTCAGCACAGTGTGCTTCTGATCTAAATGTAGGTGACGGCGTGCTGTACATGCCTCTCAGAGCTCTAGAGGCTGTGAGACTGAGTGTGTGCAGAGGGGCAGTAGTGTCACGGAGGAGAGGGACATCACCCTTTGGGTCATGTGTCTGTCGCTCATTCCTGCTTAACTAGAGACATTGGTTTCAGTCTAAAAGGAAAGACAGAGCTCTCATGCAAGTATTTGCCTTTGTACATAATTTATAAAGCAATTATTTGAATGGCTTTACAATGTAAACTTAATAAAGTATGTAAATATTTTATTGTGATATTTTATAGGCATGTTCTTGTAGATCAGGCTTAAAATACCATTCAGTTTTATTCAAAATTGAACGTGATCCCTTCTCTTTTAAAGACCCCTGTCTGACACCAAAACAACAAAGTACCAAAACAATTATTATTTAGTGTTTACAATTTATTTCTAAATAATTCATATTCATTAAAATTAAGCCTTTTTAAATCAAAAGTGTTGATTATATTAAAAGCAGATGAAAAGAAATAGAAATAAGAATGCTGTACTTTTGCTGGATTTTTATTTATTTTTAAATATATGGAAGACATACAGTAAATCATAATGTTCTTTTCTGATGAAATGACTTTATTCATTCTTAGTGTTCAGCCAAAAACCTGAAAAATATCTC